AGTTAAAATTATAGTATTTCAAACTAAATAAGTTCAATTTTATGAAAAACTTACTTCATGGTTCTTCCCGTCCAAAATCAGTGAAAATGTCACTTAACATGGGCCAGCACTGGTGTGAAAAAATGGCATTTGGGAACCCTGCTTCTCAGCATGCCATGTAAAAGAATGAGTTTAATTGACTCTACAAATTGTTAAGATGGATTTCGGGGAAAGGAAACATGTATATGAGGGTCCTTTACCCTTCTCTGGGTTGACTGCTAGCATCACTTGTTAGTTATTATAGCCAGCCAAGCAACTGCTAGAGTTAGCTCTGAGAATTGCCACCTACAAGCTTAGCCATGGGAATAGTAGCTCACAAATAATTCGTGTTCTTTCTAACTTAGAAAGGCCTCATCTTTGTGGGTTGTGAAGGAAAGAGGAAAACAGGGGCTCTCGTATATTTTGCCTGCTCTTCTTAATCTCTTATTCTGCATGGGCTAGCCAAAGAGTATTATAATTCTCTTAGGTTAGTTAAAAAATCAGTTTGGGCTTTAGAAAAAAAAATGTGGCAAACACTGACAAACTGACTGATTCATTCACTCAAAAATATTTGCAGAGCACCTACTACGTGCCAGACACCAAACAAAGGATAATGACAATTAAAAATTAACAATCTCTGCCATGAAAACACACAGGAACTGTATCTAATCTAGACTAGAGATGAAGGGAGAGTCAGAGGCGGCTTCCCAAAAGAGAGAACCTCTGAGCTAAGCCTTAAAAACTCCATAGGGATGAGGCAGAGGACTTCGGCATCTCAGTGATGGTTGATCTTTGGGCACCAGCCATCTTGAGATGAAACCAGACCCTGACCTTCCAGGAGAAATGTTTGCCCTGCTGTTGCCTTGTAAGACCTTTTCTTCTCAGCTAAATGAGTAACATAAACAAGCACAGGACAACAGGGATGATCCTGCTGCAAAATACATGTGGCCAGGCAAAGGGCCAATGCTAATCACTACCTCCAGCACCTGCATACCCTCAGCTGGGGGGCTCAGGTCTCAAAGAGAAATTCACATTCGGCCTGTCAGCACCTTGCTGTCTGCCTCGGGACAAGGCTATCTAGGAACTTGCCTGAATCTTTCCCACATGCTCCGGAGGCCTGCTTCTCAACATTTACATAGTTTTCTGATACTGTAGTCCCAAACTGTAGCACAAAAGAATCCTTCAGAACCTGGGCTAGGAGCTGGGCTGAAATTCAAACACCTCCTAAAGTTAAAACGAGGCACCTGTGTGACGCTCAGAGACATATGTGAAGAGGAGGGTCTCCTGTTAAACAAAGGCTACCTTCAAGGCTGACTCCATAAACAGGCAACCTGTATAGTCCCAGAGGCACCAAACTCACAAGGTCCCTCACGCTTGGTTCAAGGCTCTGCTGTCACCTTCATGAAATTATTAACAATTTTTTTAACAAGGAAGCATTAACACGTTTTCATTTTGCACTGGGATTCACAAACTGTACGGCCAGTTCTGACTACTTTCCCCACCCAAGGGGAAATGGGGAGCCCGCTCAAGGCCCTGGAGTCCTATAGGAGAACTTGAAATGCAAGAGTGGGTTGTAAAACAGAGAAAAATAAAAGCAGCAGTGCAACTTTACATTTGTAAGGAAATCTTGCATTGTTTGGTAAGCCAGGAGCCCAGAATTTTCATTTCCCGGGCCACTGTGAAGTTGGCAACTCTGAAATACCCACTTTCTTTTATTGCTCTGTGGACCTTACGCAGCCCTTTTTTTTTTTGCTTCTTTAGTCTGGAAGAGCAGCCCCAAAGAGACACAATTCAACAGAACCACATAAAAATGTGCCGCACAGTGGTCAAAGCCACAGCACCGAACCACTTTGTCTGTGCTGATTTTCACCCATGTCCCACAGGGTGAGCGATCCTGTCATCTTGTGTGTGTCTTCCCTCTACAACCTCAACCTACCATGCAGTTTCTTCTCAGCCACAATTTGAGTTCTTGTGGTGGTGCTACTACCAGTCTTTCTTGGTAAAAAAAAAATATATATATATATATTTTTTTTTTTTAATTTTTTTTTTTTTTGCATCACCAGAACCTTGATTTCCATCAGAATTGGCTACATAGTTCATGGAGCCCGGTGCAAAATGAAAATGTGAGTCCCTTGTTCAAAAGTCAGTAAGAATCTCAAGGCAGCAGGAGGAAGAATATTAAGCCATGCATAGAACCCTTGTAAGTGTGGGGCTTACCTGACGGCACAGATGGACCATCCAATGATTCTCATTGGCCAGAACTAGGCCATGTACCTATTCCTTAATCAACCATTGTAAAGTGTTGGCTTAATCTGTTTTGGTCACTGTTAATCACTGGCTAGTTTGGCCTTAGACTAAGAACAGCTCCCCTGGAACTGGGCATAAGTTCATCTTCCCCTGAGTTGCACGGTGTTTGGTGGTAAGGACTCCTGAGTAAACCCAGGCTTCTTCTGGATAGAAGTGAGGGAGGCACGGTTGCTGAGTCGCCAACCTCAGTCCCGGCTACACCATTCGTCTGGGACTCAGGAGGAGGAGATCTTCTGCAGAAGCTCCTTTTGATGCAAACTTCGGTTTCTGAAGGTCTTGAAGAATGACTCAAACCCTCCTTACTCAGATCTGACTACTCTCATTCCCAGGGTCCCAGGCTCTCCAAACCTCTTTCCTGCTGCCCACTCTTCCTGCAGGCAGGTGCATGCAGGGGTGAGAAGGTATGACTCCTGTCCTCCTGACAACCATCATCTAATCAAGGAACCACAACTAACAGACTGTAAAATACACAAAAAAACTTAAGTAATAGAAAAATTTTAAATAAAAATACCACTCATGAAAATGCACATAGCAGTGTTGAGAGTTAATGGACGTGTTCAATTAACAAGCACTGGGTGGCACCCTCAATAGGAATGTGGGAGGAAATGGATTTTCCAGTGGAAGTGGTCAGTTGTGGGCAGCGTTAAATGCATTTTGGAGCAGAAGACAGAAATTCACAAGCCAGAGTGGTAGAATTCTCATACAGCAAGTTTGGATATCAATCAAACAGGTTTGTTTGGCCTGAGCAGACGGCACATGTCACTCCACAATGTCAGTGGCGAATGGAAAAAAAATCATGTAGTGCAAAGTCATTACTAGGAAATCAGACCCAATACAAAAGGCAACAGTATCATTTCTAAAGATATACACAAACAGTGATTTTTCACCAATGAGAAAATAGAGTCCTTTGCTTCTGTTACTCCCTTCAAAACATTCCCTCTTTCTTCATCTGGTGAAAATCCTGTTCAGTCCTGAAGATCAAGCTGGCTCAGCCCTATCACTGCCAGGAAGTCTTCCTTGAACCTTCCTCACTCTCCAGTACCTCTCATCCCAGCTGACAGGGGCTCACCAACGGGACTGCTCCTTCTGCACGCTGTCACTGTACCTGTGACCCGGCACTGAAACCATCTGTTGCAGTGTCTCTCACTCACTGGGCTATAAATTCCTTGATGCAAGAAACTCTGCCTTATTCCTCTTCATAACCTCTGTGCCTTGATAATTGATCAAGCTGTCATATATGCACATGTAATAAGTACTCAAGAATGCTTACTGAAAGTGATATGGTCTGATTATACAGAGGAGCAATAACTTTTCATAATCTGTGTGTATAGCAGTAAAAGAATGTACAGAGTGAAAGAATAACATGTATAAAAACTAGATATGTTTAGGCTATTTGATAGATGACCTGCAGGGGTCATTAGATTGGATGTGGATGAATATGAGAAAGCTGTCAAAGATGACTTCAAGATTCCTTTCCTTGAGAGCTGGAATAACAAACAATAGAGGCTCTTAACCTACCCTCCGTGATAATGGGACAAGTCAGTACAGAGACAGGATTTTGTACTAAGCTTATGAAATCTTCTCCAGCCTTCCCTTCTTCATGTCTGTCAGTTCCTTTATCTTACTTATCCTTACCTCAAAGGCTTTCGGCCCCAGTACTTGAATGTTTATTTTTATTTTCACTGAAAATCTTTGAAATTCATAGTGTATTCCAGTTATGATATATAGTCAATAAATATTTACTGGATACCTGTGGCCCTCAATCCAGGCATGAGTGAAATGAAGGTGGGAAATTACTTTCAGTTTCTGCATGGCATGATTTGTAACTAGTCACAGTGTCTGATGACTGGATAATCTAGAACCCCAATGATACTCAGATCTCCAAATTACTACTGAGCAAGCAGAGGCAGGAACCCCCAGAAAGAGCTGGAAGGTGTCCTCTCAGGGGTGTTGAAAAAATGCTTCTACAGGACATCAACAAAGCCAAGGGTTTTTGTGATCCGCCCTCACACTTCATTTTGTCATTTGATTTTTCCCATCATGCTAGCTTTTGTGTGGATTTCAGTGTGAGTGTGTGTGTGTGTGTGTGTGTGTGTGTGTGTGTGTTATAATCTAAAAAGAGTAACTCTTGACAAGTAACAGTAATGTGAAAGGAATTGCACAGTAAAAAAAGTCACTGACATTCCCTGCTTTGTTTAGTTGAATTTTTTTTTTTCTTATAGGATTTCTCACTAACTTTTCCTCTCCTACCAAACTGAAAACCAGGAAATGATTGCTGAATTTCAACATCAGTAGGCGATAACTTACCTTAGTGAAGACTGGGCAATATAATCACAATTTCTATATTAATGTCAATGTTCCGGGTAAAAAAAAAAAGTGGCAGTAATGAGAAAAAAACATCCAAGTATATACTTGCAAAATATAAGAAAAACAAGATTCTAAATCTACAGTCTGAGTTATCAGTGTAAGATAAGACTGCCATGTTAAGAGCAAGGCAATAGCACATTTAGGTATGAATATATAATACGTGCCAGTTACAGCAACTCTAAATATGTTTCTCATATTTGAGGAACTCAAATATGTTGTTCATATGCTCAAATTCCCACTGTAAGTTTAATTGGCTATATCTGGTTAGAAGTAAAAAAAAAAAACCAAAAAAAACTTTTAAGACATACTTTGAATTTCAATGATCTTCTGTAAAGAAATAACGGCATTCATATTCGGGCTTTGGTGGAGAATATCTTCTGGGAGTGGCTCCAGCTGCAAGAACAGCAGATAATAGATAGAATGAGCAGAATATTATGACTTCACAGTACGTCTGCCATAAGCAAAGCAAATTGAAGCAACCTAAAGAAAGAAAAAAAAAAGCTTGCTCCAAGAACTAGTTAATATTGCTGCTATCGGTTCTAAAAGTGTAGCCAGTTTTATTTTCTGTTTTGCACCATGCAATTGAATTCCAAAGGGCTTTTCAATTGGTCACAAGCCTAATCTATGAAGTCCCTGAAGCAGGTGCATGTGTGTGTATTATTCATTAAAAATCTGAGTTATTTGTGTAATTTTTGTAGGTTCCTCACAAACCGAATTCCATCATGTCTGTGTATGCAGCTGGGCCCTGGAAAGGAGAGCTCAGGGGAGCTGCAGCAGACAGAGTGGGCAGTCTATCACCCATAGTTTTGCTGTGTTGTTCCTACTAACCACTTTAAACTTTTGGACACTTCCCGGTAGAAAACCATGAGACACAGCTGCTCTTGGTCAATTGCTGTTGAATAAGTGGTAGTGTAAATGTTCAAATAAAACCAAAGGTATAGTAAAGGAACTGTACATTTTCACTTAACGTCCACTGTGTCCGTAACTCTGCAGACGTCCCTAAGGAAGCACAGGACACATTCCTGTCTTGCAAAGCTCTTGTGATTTTTCATGGAGAAGCTCAGCAAATATTGCTTTGCAAGAAATGAAGAGGAGCTCTGAATAATTTATGGGAAGTTTTGGCAGAACTGAATCTAATGATGCATCCCTGGGAATACCTTGGTGACGACGCTTGGTGCGGAGCAGCAAGAGCTGAATAGCCAGAGCACTTGCAAACAGAAGAGCCACCCACTTATGCTGACCCAGGAAGCAAGGAAAGTAGTCGTAACGAAGGGATAAAGAAAAAAGGAGTTTTCTTAGAAAATGTAAAGTTAGTCGTCTTAACTATAAACTGATGGTCAAACTATCATATGGCATGAATGGGAACCGATGTCACAAGACATTGTACCAAAGCATAAATGCATCTATGTCTCTTGGTCTGTAGCAAAAAAACTAAAAACCTCAGGGATTCCAAGTTTCCATAGCATATGTGAGTGAATCTTCCCCCCAGGGTCTTTCTGAATTGATTATTCTATACTTCAATCATGGAATCTAAAACAATAGCACCTTTCTTCCAGATGCCATAGGATAACAGACTAGCTCAGGGATATTTACACATGGGTAAATTCACTAAATATAACTTTCCAGAGTGTTTTTCTTAGCTGCCAGAAAGAAAAAAAGAAAAAAAAAACCTTTAAAACATCAAAAGGTTTATTTGCAATACCGTTTGGTGAGAGAAAAAAAAAAACAACAGTGTTGGTGAAAGGTTCTGCAATCTTAAACTCTAAGAATTTGTTAAAATTGTTTTTTTTAAAATCTGATATTTCAGGTAGTGTCTTCAAGAATATGTTATCCTAGTATAACACCCCCTGAACTCAGAGAAACGACTGAATCATAAACGGAAGGTTACTTGGAAAACTCTTACTCAAGACTTAGACAGGGTTGAGCTACCTTGCACATAAATAATCTTTCCTTTCACTTCTGTCTCAGAGCTTAGAGAATATTTTTAATACAAACCAGGTTTTAGTAATAAAATGTTTTGAGACATCACTTTATGTTCAAATGTTTAAGAACAAAAGCACAAGGTGCTATCAGCATACTTAGCTTTTCAAAAGCTTTCTGGTGACGTTAGGGTAAAAATGCTGACAAATTGAAAGGTGCTGGTTACAGACAGATTATTAATGTAAAAAACTTCACTTCTGGAACTCTCTGGCATTAAAATTTCTGGGCTATCCGTGAGGCTTAGGTTATGTGAAAAGTAAATGTGATTCAGGGTGTTGAGAGTAAAAATACAAACAACCCTAAACCTCCAATTTGGAATCATCAGTTCGATTCGATAAAAGTTGTGTCTACTTATAAAAGCAACCTAGAGAATTAAGGCAATTACATTGATAATTTAAGCCCCCCAAGCCATTTCCCTGCATGTTTTAGGTGAATGTCATTTAGAGGATTTAACCTTCAGTAAATTGCCCCAATTTGTTTCATTCTGAAGGTATACACAGACAGAGCTGAATTCAGAAAATTCTCAATGTAAGTTCTTTATTTTTTTCTCGGGTAGTGCTGCACAGAAGGCAATGGGTAATACTCTCAGTTGGCAAGAAGGTAAGCAGAATTTAGAGTCTGTTTTCATAAAATTAAAACCTTGTATAGAGGGACCACAGAATTGAGTTGCCTTTTCTAGCGTTTGTTGATTTAATCATTCACGATGATAACCACTAAAAGAATCTGGTTGAAGCATCTGTTTAATAAATATTTATGAGTATTGGTCATTATTAGTAATCTAATAACTGTAATGAAATAATATTAGTCATTTTTTATAAATTTGAAGCAAAAATGAGAATATTCAGTAAAGCTGGTTATACATTTAGTTTGGCCGATAAGACATAGCAAAATCACTGATTACTGAGGCTAATCAATGTTAGTAAGAGTTATTAAAAGATACATAAGGAAGCAGTTTATGCAAACCAGGGAACGTTTGCAAGCAAAAATTATAGTAAGATAAAGCACATGCAAATGTAGGAAATATCACATACCCATCCTGCCATCTTTGCTGAGCAATTCTATCAAGTAATAATAATCTTCAAGGAATTATAAGATACAGTAGATAATTTTAACACAACTTCTTGACACATAACGCGCTCACTCAGCTTTATTTTATCCAAAATATTTAATTGCAACTATTACATACAGCAATTCTTTATACAAATTTTCATTCTCAGTGTCAGAGAAATTTATTTTACTACATCTTTTATAGAAAGCTGCAATGTTGTATTGATACAATTCAGATGTTTATTAAATTGCCCATACTATGTAATTTCAAGTATTACAGCTACTTTAAAACACCTAAAAATTGTGGCCATTATGTTATGAATAGCTAATTTTCAGATTCTTTAGAATCAGATCAGTTAAATCATCAAAAATCATTTTAGTTGCCTAAGATGCATTTATGGAAATGAGCAGGGGATATTTTTGGAGAAGCCTTTGAGGAAGATTTTTAAAACTCACTCTGTATTTGTGAGACATGAAAATCAACTCCATTATTTTAAAGATTCAAACAGGACAGAAAAGAAGCTAAACAGAGACTTTGCAAATATAACTGGTACATGAGGATTGATTTATACATCAACCAAGCAGAGAGTCTCCTAACTACTCGTTAGCTTTTATACTGTATTTCCCAAATATGCTAAGTATTTTCACACTTTTATACCTGTATTTACTCTGTTCCCTCTGATTTCTACTTTTGTCCAGCCTTCTTTGAATTGGTGATAGCTTACTAAATTGTTCATGGACCAGCACAAATATTGCCTGCTCTGTGAAACCTTTCGCAAACTTCTCTGATAGAGCAAATTGCTTCCACCTGTGTCTCCTTTCCACACAAATACTCTTGTTTACTCTGCTAAACACATTCTATTGTAGTCAGCCATGTCTGCCATTCTGCACTTTGTTGTGATCCATTTAAAAGCAAAGATAGAGCATGGTATACAGTAGGCATTTTTCAAAACTGTTGAATGAATGGAGCGAGTATTAATTAAGAAAACGAGAGAGAGCCTTTATTCTACACTCTGTAGCTAACTGACCTAAGTGGAATGGATTCTTCCTCTTGAACGCCTGCTATAATCAGGACACGGTTTGAGGATGAAAGACTAGGAAGGACAACAGTGATAATTCATTTTTAAGTCAACATAATTGAGTTTTAATTGATTTGTAAGTTTTGAATTTTAAATTAGACCATCAATTGTGTTAAACTTATCAATTCCAATCATGTGTATACAAATAATTTTGTATAGATTTTTTTTACATACACAATTACATAATCTGTGAATAATAAGAGATTTATTTAATTCTTCTCCAATTTTTATTTTTTAAATTTCTTTTTGTTACTTTCTTGCCCTGTTAGGACCATCAGTGCAATGTTGAAATGAAGCAGTAAGAGTGAACATCTTTGTCTTGTTTCTGATGTCAAAGAAAAATCCTCATATTTCACCTTTAAATCTGATATATACTATACAGAATTGTTTGTAGACAAGCTTTATCAATTTAATAAAGTTTCCTTTTGTTACCAGTTTTCCAAAAATAGTTCATCATAACTGGGTGTTTAATTCATCAACTAATGTTTAAAAATCTATTGAAATGGTTATATTTCTTGATTCTCTTAAGGTGGTGAATTATAATGGCTTATTTTACAGTGTTATTATGTTACATCCTGGCTTGAACCCAATTTTGTTATGAGTCTTTAAGATATTGTTGAACTGCTAATATTTTGTTTCAGATTTTATCTACTATGTTTATGAGCAAGATCCTATAATATTGTCTTATAAGGTTCTTTTTAGTTTTGAATATCAATATAATACTGGTCTCAAAAAAATCAGTTGTGAACTATTCTCCACATGCCTCTTTACTCTAAAACAGTATGAGACTGGTACTTTTTATTCCTTAAATTAGTTAGAATTCCCTGGTGAAGCTATATGAGGGTCTAATATTTTCTCTTGGTAAATTTGGTATTCAAGATTCAGTTTTGTTTATAATTATAGTACCATTCAAGTTTTCTGTCTTCTTGATTCAGTTTTTGCAAGGTTTTGTTTTTGTAAGAATTTTTTCCATTTTAAATAAAATTTCAAAAATTTTTGTGCAGCGTTTCTTTTTTTCATATTCTCTTATAATCCCTTTGATACATTAACATCTGTAGTAAAGTCCTCATTTTCATTCTGAGTGCCGGTAATGCATGACTTTTCTTTGTTGATCAGTCTTGCTATAGCTCTATTAATTTTGTTGGTTATTTAAAGAACTAAATTTGACTTTTTTAAATCTTGTATATTGTATGTTTGTTTTCAATTTCATTTTCTTCTCTATATTTCCTTTGCTTACATCATGCTTAATTTGTTGCTATGGTTTTCTAATTTCTTGATATGTATGCT